AAGGGAGAACTGCAGGAACGACGTATCCATCATCATCCAAGCGGTATGGTGGCAGATGGACGTGGCTGTCAAAGAGATCAGAGTAGAAGTCGTGGATGACCTTCTCCATTGCCCTTCTGGATGCGGTGATTGTTCCATCCGGACGTCGGAGGGCGGTCATCTTGGTCTTACAGTTGGCGAAGTCGCGGCGGGCGTTGCGTATGCTCTTCCCAGCCTCTGCGGCTTCCACCAGTACTGCTGCTCTTCTCTCCTTGAGGTCTTCCTTTATCGCTTCTCTGCATAGCTTCGCAAGCTCAGACGTCAGCTGGTAATTGCCTGCGGCTCGTGCGGCTCCACGTTGGCGAATCAGCTCCAGAGTTTCCAGAGATAAACGCTTCTTAGTTGTGTCAAAACTCTTTCTTGGCGCAGTCGTGAAGATGTGCGACAAGCCGTTCGTATTCCTCGTCGATGTTGTCGATAACGGAATCCTCCCAGAGCCCAGCGAGAGAAGTGAAGTGATCCCAGTTGATGACAATCTTGGGAACTTCGCTTCTTGAACTTTGCGGCTCTCTCCTCGAAAAGCGGAATCTTGCGCGAAGGAGACGGTGGTCGGATCCCGTGTAGAACTTAGGGACAACAGCGACATCGGTCAGGCAAAACCTTCGATTGAAGATGATGTGGTCGATCTTCATACGGAAATGTCCCCATTTGCAACAGGGCTTCCGGAACTGCGAGTCAAAATGGATAGTATGGGTCGCCACGATAAATTCAGAAGTCATACACACAGGAGAAAAAGGAAACGTGAAGAAAGGGTCTATACAGATTTTGATAACTCAAAAAGATAAGCAGAATATCACTTGATTGTGAAATCCTAAACAACCTAGTCATGAGTCGTGCAAACGAAAGGGCGCTCGAAGAAGCGTGAAATGGACAGCGGTCATAATAGCCTTTTACCCAATCCTTGCAGACATACAATCAGTATAGCTGCACTGACTGTAAGGAACGCCTTGGCAACGCTCCAGTGCAGGTTAGCTGCGTTTATACTTTGCGGCAGCGTAGCGTAGCGTAGCGCAGCGTAGCGTAGCGCTTCCAGCGTACGCCAGCGGCAGTGCCGGGGAGAGGATGCATATCGATCTAGCGTTCCCAGCGTCACCAGCGTAACGCTAGCGTACGCTAGTGAAACGCTGGCGCTGCCGCAAAGTATAAACGCAGCTTTGCGTCACTCGCCCTGTCGCTGGCAGGGATCACGACTGTAGTGGACCTAAAATTGTCGTCATAAGTTATCATCAAGCGTACCTTAATGGTGCATAGGACTGAAGTTACTGTAGCCACAAAGAATACCAAATGTCCGGTGCTGTTTATCTGAAAGCAGTTTTCGCCTGAACTTGGAATGTTCCTTGGTAAATTCGGTTGTACTAATTCGCTGGTTCAGCTT